GAATAAAATCAGAGAAGTGTAATTAATCCCTTACTACCGACCTCGCCTCATTACAGAGGGATCATTATAAATCACATATTCTATTCTTCCCTACTGTCTGACCTATTAATTCCTTTTATCGGTCTGAATGTTCAACTTTGTAACTTTTCTACTAACATCATTCTACCTACATACAGTGTACATATAATATATATTCTACCTACATATATATATATATATATATATATATATATATATACATACAGGGGTGGACTGACAAGTCATGGGGCCCCCGGGCAATAGGGGATTATGGGGCCCCTGTGTCCTCGCCCACACCCAAAAAAGCCTATGAAAAAGCCAATGAAAGGTACCAGGGGCATCTCATGGGGCCCCTACTGATCCCAAGCCCTTGGGCAGTGCACGAGTGCTCGAATAGTCAGTCCACCCCTGTATATATATATTAGGTTGCACCCCAGCCCAGTGCAAAAGTCAGCCCAGTGCTCTAGAAACCCAAATCCTTCCCTCTTACACCAGGTCTTCAGCCATGCATTGAGTTCTCTAATCTCCCCGTCTCTCCCGAGTTGCGCACAGCTAATATTTCAGAGAATATCACCTTGGAGGTCCTTCCCTTCAACTTGCAGCCGAGTTCTTTACATTGATTCTTAAGGAGCTTCCACCTTCCATGTATTCTGTCATTGGTTCCAACATGAACCAAGACAGCTGAGTCATGCCCAGCCCCTCCCAGTCATTTAGTAATGTTGAGAGTCTGTAATAATAATAATAATAATAATGATATGATTATTATTATTATTACAATATAATAATATTAATTGTATTTTTTATTTTTGAGAGTGTTAGGAGTTTTTTTCTTTTCTCTATTTTAGTCTTTTATCTTAAAATAATAATGATTAATTAATATTATTATAAATTATTTGTAATAATATTTTTTCTTTATGACTGTCTTTCCTCTCTCTCTCTCTCTCTTTCTTTTCTCTTTCTTTCTCTCCCTCTTTCTTCCTCTTTCTCTCTCTTTCTTTCTCTCTCTCTCCCTCCCTACCCTCTCTCCCCCCTTCTCCCCCCATCTCTCTCTCTCTCTCCCCCCTCTCGCCCCCTCTCTCTCCCCCCTCTCTACCCTCTCCCCCCTCTAACTCTCTCTCTATCCCCCCTCTCTCTCCCCCTCTCCCTCCCTCCCCCCCCCTCTCTCCTTCTCCCCCTTCTCTCTCCCTCTCTCTCCCTCTCTCCCTCCCCCTCCCTCTCTCTCTTATCTCTCTCCCCCCCCCCTCCTCTCTCCCCCCCTCTCTCTCTCTCTCTCTCTCTCTCTCCCTTCTCCCTCTCTCCCTCCTCCCTCCCTCTCTCTCTCTATCTCTCCCCCTCTTCTCCCCCCCCCTCCTCCCTCTCTCTCTCTTCCTCCCCCTTCTCCCTCTCTCTTCTCCCTCCCTTCTCTCCCCCTCTCTCTCTCCCTCTCTCTCTCCCCCCTCTCCCTCTCTCTTCCCCCCCTCCCCTCTCTCTCCCTCTCATCTCTCTCCCCTCTCTTCTCTCTCTTCTCTCCTCCCCCTCTCTCTCCCCCTCTCCCTCCTCTCCCTTATCTCTCTCTCTCTCTCTCCCCCCTCTCTCTTCTCTCTCCTCCCCTCCCCCTCTCCCCCTCTCCCTCTCTCTATCTCTCTCTCTTTGTCTTTTTATATAAAATAATTGCGGATTGTAAGCATTTTGATGAAGTAAAAAGAGGGATATTCATGTTGGTTGTTCTTTTAAGAATAACTAACTGTTACATATTGTAAAAGATTTTTTTTTTCGATCTCTTTCATTGTATTTCATGAGTTTCTCTAGTGAGATTTTATCCCTTACTTAGGGTCAGTTGAGCTGTGCCCCACCGAAACATCGACCTGAAGAAACGACACTTTTGAATGTCATCTCTGTTGCCGGGTCCCGTGGAGTGCAACTATTTTCAGATTGTTATTTGGGGTTTATATAGGTAGGTAGACGCAGCGAGCTTTGAGGTGCACTTATGTAGCTTGTATTTGAGATGCTTCTGATTTCCATTGGAACTCCTTCAAAGCTGCAGTATATCCCACTGACCTGTGTGATGAGAGAAGCATTTCTGATGTGAACCCCAGCAGCCCGTATCCATGTACCTGTGCTGTACCTTTTAGGGAAATTGTTAAAAATTGTTGAAAATCCAGCTGCTCAATGCCGGAGAAGTAGGATTTGTTTTGAAAACTGACTATTTTTATTGCTATAAAGCTTTCAGAAACAGATTACAAGATAATCATGAAGTATGTATACAGCGTCACTCAAACATCAAACAAATGACAAAGCATATGTCATAATCTTCTATCCGACAGATCCGAAGAGGTTGATTTACTAAGACTGGAGAGTGCAAAATCTGGTGCAGCCAATAAGCATCTAACTTCAGCTTGTTCAATTATTATTATTATTATACAGTATTTATAAAGCCCAATAGTTCACTCAGCGCTGTACATTACAAAGGGGGGACAGAACATGAGACAGAACAATACCAATAAAATGCAAAACATGAGGGGATTGAGGGCCCTGCTCCTTGGAGCTTACAATCTAGGAGGGAGGGGATGGTGGCACAGGAGGAGATAGCTGTGGGGGATGGAGTGGTAGGAAGAGTGGAGGAGGTCGGCGAGTTAGCAGGGGGTGGGGTAGGCTTCCCTGAAGAGATGGGTTTTCAGGGTGCGCCTAAAGGAGAGGAGAGTAGGTGATAATCTGATGGGTTGGGGCAGGGAGTTCCAGAGGATGGGTGACACCCTGGAGAAGTCCTGGAGGCGGGCATGGGAGGAGGAGACCAGGGAACTAGAGAGAAGGAGGTCTTGTGAGGAGCGGAGTGTGCGTGTTGGGTGGTACTTGGATATTAGGTCAGTGATGTAGTTTGGGGCAGTATGGTGGATGGCTTTGTACGTCAGCGTTAGGATTTTGAATTTGATCCGTTGCGCAATCGGAAGCCAGTGGAGGGATTGGCAGAGGGGGGTGGAGGACACTGAGTGGAGGCCAGTGGAGGGATTGGCAGAGGGGGGTGGAGGACACTGAATGGAGGCCAGTGGAGGGATTGGCAGAGAGGGGTGGAGGACACTGAGTGGAGGCCAGTGGAGGGATTGGCAGAGAGGGGTGGAGGACACTGAGTGGAGGCCAGTGGAGGGATTGGGCAGAGGGGGGTGGCGGAGACAGAGCGGTTGGAAAGGTGAATGAGTCTGGCAGCCGTATTCAGGATCGACTGAAGCGGGGATAGCCAGCGGCGAGGCAGGCCAGTGAGGATGAAGATGAATGAAGATTTGTCAAAACAAAACCCGGAAGCTGATTGGTTTCCATGCAGAGCTGCAATAGATTTTGCACTCTCCAGTTTTAGTAAATCAGCCCCATAGTGTGCAGTCATATCACAAGAAAGGAGTAAAAAACCGTAATTACAAAAATATATGGTGAATGCGTATGAAAACCAGGAGAGGTAGGCAGTAAGTAACTCAAAGTAAATTGCTTTGTAGGCCAAGGAGAGAAAAGCTTGGGTTAGACAAAGATGAAAGACTTGCATGAAGGCGTGAATCATCAAGTGTAGATATCTGTAGTGAGTATCAAATGAAAGGGGAAATAAAAGGGAGGAGAAAAAGAGAGTAGAGAGAAAAACATAATGCTTGGGCATACCTGACCTCCTCTGCGTAATTAAACAGGAGCAGGGGCGGACTGACAACTCATGGGGCCCCTGGGCAATAGAGGATCATGGGGCCCCTGTGTCCTTGCCCAAACTCAAAAAAGCCTATGAAAAAGGTACCAGGGGCATCTCATGGGGCCCCCTACTGACCCTGGGCCTTCGGGCAGTGCCCGAGTTTCCAAATGGTCAGTCTGCCCCTGAACAGGAGCAAGGTCCCGGAGCGATGGAGAGTTGATCAATAGCAAACATGTCTATACTCACTTGCTCTGTAATGGTTTTGCACAGAGCAGCCTGGATCCTCCTCTTCTTGGGTCCTCCACTGACGCTCCTGGCCCCTCACTCATGTCAGGTGCCCCCTCAGCAAACAGCTTGCTATGGGGGCACCTGAGCAGGCATGTTCCCAAGCCGGGGCTCTGCGTGTCCATTCACACACAGAGCCATGGATCAGCTCCGCCCCCTCTCTCTTCTGATTGGCTCACTGGTTGTAATTGACAGCCAATGGCTCAAAAAAGAAATATGGTGGGATTTCCACCTGAGAAGTAGGATTTTATGTTTTACATTGTTAAAGCCAAATCCATTCATCAATTAAAATATTCCAGATTCATCTGCTCAGGCTTATCTGACCCTCTTTTTGCATTTTATTTTGAAGGTAATCGGAGCCTTTGGAGTAACATGAGAAGACGGCAATGTCACAGGGGCCATGTGTACCAGTCTTCACCAGTCCAATTAGAGAAACTTTGTCATAAACCTCCGAGGAACTGGATAACGGACTGGAAATTGGAAGGTCCACCAAAAACCTTCAACGGCCTTTCCTCCAGGAGAGATTCATCTCAACGAATAGACGTTTATAAAGTATTTCTAAGTGAAATAAGAAATACAATACAGAGTATTACAACATATGAGATAAACCTTGGAAAAGCACATTTTGCCAAATATATGCCCTGCTACAACCAAACCGTTCTCAGGAAGCTACTCAACCCAAAAACACATTCCCAGGAAGAAGACATTTTGTACGATAAATGTGAAAACCTAAAACCTGTCATTTCATGAAGAAACGGTGCGCAATGAAACCTCTTCACATCTGCAATCCATCGGAATATTTTGGAAGTGCCCAGAGTGAAGGAAACATCAACTCCCAACATTTCAAAATTATTTTGGAGTTACTATCTCTGATCAATCATGAGGACGGGGAATGTAAACATCGCATTGGCCGCGTTCTAAATTCTGCATGTTAATCAGTGCATGAGTGTGTATTTTGGCCCAAAAAAACATTTCCAGGACCTTAAACATAGAATATTTTCTTGACTCGGAACTTTGGAGACATCATTTCCTTAAACAGACTTGACTCAACTTGATCATGGTCCTATTTAATCAGAACAACACAGTAGAATCGATCCCTCTCTGTCTAAACTGCACTCACCAGACACCGACCAACAGTATCTCCAAAACCATCATCATCGGAGTTATCTTTGGGGTTTTCATCACCTTTGGTGTTCTTGGAAACATCTTGGTCATACTTTCAGTTGCCTGCCACCGGCACCTACAAACCGTGACCCATTATTTCATCGTCAACCTTGCTGTAGCAGACCTACTCTTGATGTCCATGGTGCTTCCATTCTCTGCCACTTTTGAGATCCAAGGCTACTGGCTGTTCGGACGTATTTTCTGCAACATCTGGGCAGCCGTTGATGTCCTTTGTTGTACAGCTTCCATAATGAGCTTATGTGTCATCTCCATTGACCGCTACATAGGGGTTAGCTATCCATTGAGATACCCCAGCATTATGACCGAAAGAAGAGGTCTTCTCGCTCTACTCTCTGTGTGTGGGTCTTATCCCTTGTGATTTCCATTGGACCTTTGTTTGGCTGGAAGGAGCCGGCACCAGAAGACGAGACCATCTGTGAAATCACAGAAGAGCCGGGCTATGCACTCTTCTCTGCCTTTGGATCCTTTTATCTCCCCCTTACAATTATTCTTGTCATGTACTTCAGGGTTTACATTGTGGCCAAGAGGGAAGGCAAAGTTTTAGACTCCGGGATGAAATGTGAGAAATCGGACTCTGAAGAGGTGACGTTGAGGATTCATAGGAAGAGCACCCCTGATAGCATCAACTCCAATTCCAGCACAAGCACAAAACCCACTTCTCAGTACGACTCCTTAAATTTTCCAGGGAAAAGAAAGCTGCAAAGACACTGGGGATAGTAGTGGGATGTTTTGTCCTATGCTGGCTTCCTTTTTTTCTTGCAATGCCTATAGGTAAGTGATTCTTTTATTACTATAGAACCTTATGTTGCAGTAAAGGTCTCCCGGGAACATTGTTCTATAAAGTTTCACTTTAACCCTTTTGCTGCCAGAGTCATTTTTTGCCATTTTACACCTATGTTTAAAATGATCATTTTAGTCCTGAAGATTACCTAAACCCCCCCCCACCCCCCCCCCCCCCCCCCCCCCCCCCCCCCCCCCCCCGAACATTAGAGAATAAAATAGTGGTAGTTCCAATTTTTTTATATCATGCAATACAAGAAAACAGGAAGACTTTAATGAAATAAAGGGGTGGGCAACTACATGAAAAAAATTATATTTAATGTTGAAAAATATGAATGCAAGTTACTCGCTAGGGGGAGAACCTCTGGGGGAAGGAATCATGGATGGAAAAAGATCTGGGGGTTCTTGTAGATCAAAGGCTCAGGAAAAGCATGCAATGCTGCTGCATTCACTAAGATGGACATCCTAGCGAACGCAATAGACAGCGATATTGGAAATAGTAAAGAGGAGATCCCCAACCCCCCCCCCCCCCCAAATAATAAGTCAGCAGCTACAAATACTGTGGCTGCTGACTTTTAGTATTAGGGTACTTACCTGTCCAGGCAACCAGTGGTGTCCTCACCTGAGCTGATTCTTCAATTGGCTATCAGGTGCTGGCACCGCCATCTTGAGTAAGGGAAACAGGGAGTGAAGCCTTGCGGCTTCACAGCCGTTGCCTGCTGCACATGTGCAAAGCGTGCTCCGCTTTGTGAATGGTCCGCAGTCTTCTGGCACCTGTGAAGTGACCTTGACGGCTGCGACGGAAGGAGGGGGGGACTTACGGATCAGTTCGCCACAGCAAACTGAGCCAGAAGTGGGAGTGGGTAACTGTCGTAACCATGTACCCGCTCCCCCCAAGCCCGCCCTCCTCCGAAAAAAAAGGTGCCAATGTGGCAGCAGAAAGGGGTAGGAGGTAGACAACCAGAGCTTCCCCTTTTGGGTGGAACTCCGCTTTAATACATACAACCACACAGGATGGGCTGGTGTCTTCTTCAACCTTGCCTGCTATGTAATATTAGCACAACAGTTTAGGAAATGCAAAATGTCGGTAAAAAAAAAAATATACCAGAGTTAATTTTAGGCCAGAAAACACAATATATTAGCAAATCTTTTCTCTGGTGCATTTGCTGGGGGGGGGGGGCAAGGCAGCAGCCTATGGGGTACATTCATTTGAGCTGAGAGCTGCCCTCACCCCATCCTGTAGTACTCATACATGTGACAGTGCTTACCACCCTCTGTGACCCCACAGTGGACCGCTTTTCTAAGGGTGGTATTGCCATAGTTGGCAGGCATTCAGGAGATCCTGTCTCCTCCCAAAACACTTTTTTTTTTTTTTTCAATCCCAAGGAGGATTATGTAGTAAAAATATTGCAATGCAACTGCGGGTTGAACATTTGGCTCATTGTTGCAGTGTGCTCCCAATGAACTCGATGGGCATGTTTTACAGGCGGTATTGAAAATGCCGCACAGCATCGCGGCCATGGCATGTGTACAGCCCTGTCAGACTGTAATGTTTGAATTTGGGTGAGTAGCTAGGGGCAGTAAAACTGTGGCTGAGCCACCTGTTTTTACTGCCCCTAAGCTGCCCATGTGAAAGAGCTCTTGGTGACCCATCATGTGCATTGGGGCTGCCCTACCTGACAGGAGGGCCTGAGCAAAGGTCCATTGGTTCACTTTTGCGAAAGAGCCCTTACTGTGCTGCCATGCTGCCTGGGGGTTGCCCTACCTGACAGGAGGAGCCTGAGCAGAGGTCCATTGGTTCACCCTTGCGAAAGAGCCCTTACTGTCCTGCCATGCTGCCTGGGGGCTACCCTACCATACCGGAGGAGCCTGAGCAGAGGTCCGTTGGTTCACTCTTGCGAAAGAGAGCCCTTACTGTCCTGCCATGCCATGCTGCCTGGGGGGCTACCCTACCTGACAGGAGGAGCCTGAGCAGAGGTCCATTGGTTCACCCTTGTGCAGAGCCCTTACTGTCCTGCCATGCTGCCTGGGACTGCCCCTAACAGGAGGAGTCTGAGCAAAGGTCCATTGGTTCACTCTGAGCCCTTACTGTCCTGCCATGCTGCCTGGGGGCTACCCTACCTGACAGGAGGAGCCTGAGCAGAGGTCCATTGGTTCACCCTTGCGAAAGAGCCCTTACTGTCCTGCCATGCTGCCTGGGGGCTACCCTACCTGACAGGAGGAGCCTGAGCAGAGGTCCATTGATTCACCCTTGCGAAAGAGCCCTTACTGTCCTGCCATGCTGCCTGGGAGTTAGCTACCCCACCTGACAGGAGAGCCTGAGCAGAGGTCCGTTGGTTCACCCTTGCGAAAGAGCCCTTACTGTCCTGCCATGCTGCCTGGGGGCTACCCTACCTGACAGGAGGAGCCTGAGCAGAGGTCCATTGGTTCACTCTTGCGACAGAGCCCTTACTGTCCTGCCATGCTGCCTGGGACTGCCCTACCTACCTAACAGGAGGAAGTCTGAGCAAGGTCCGTTGGTTCACTCTTGCGAAAGAGCCCTTACTGTCCTGCCATGCTGCCTGGGGGCTACCCTACCTGACAGGAGGAGTCTGAGTAAAGGTCCATTGGTTCACTCTTGCGAAAGAGCCCTTACTGTCCTGCCATGCTGCCTGGGGGGCTGCCCTACCTAACAGGAGGGGCTTGAGCAGAGGTCCATTAGTTCCTCCGATGGTGAGATCCATTGTCTGCACCAGTGGCATACTTTGCGGGTTCGGGGGTTGCGATCCACACCAGGTTCCGTACCGGCACTCTGGATATGCCAACCAATCAGCCAACAATTTTTATCTTTTTGTTGCACCTTGCAACTGTCAGGCAGAAGCCATGCTGTACTGCTAATATCATAGATCTCAGCTACAGAAGATGATGTTGTGGCGCCCCCATCAGGGGAGGAGGGGGCACAGTTTGACTTCTTCGTCACTGGATGACCTTGTCCCAGCACTGCTTGCAGTAAATGTCCTAGATGTAAATGAAAAGTTATTTCCGGGCCCTCGTCCAATCAGCTTTGATTATATCCCTGTGAACCTCTACATGTGTGTTTATTATTTATGAACTGTTTTTAATTTAAAAGCACTAATTACCGAGGAATGATCACACCCTTGTCTCTAATTATGCTGCCGATGGAGTGTAAAAATGTTCTTTAATTAAGCCGAACCTTCTAATTAACTACGGAGAATTATAAAGTCTCCCCTTCCATCTGTTTTTCTGCGCTGATGATGACAAGGCCCGTGAGGGCGTGACGCGCGTCCAATTCAGTGTTTTGTTTCCAGTTATTTTCCCATTTTGATGGAGTTTTATGATTGTCATCGACCAGCTTGCGACTGTCATTTATTTCCCGGAGAGGTTCCATTTAATTACACGGGGAAGTGGCCGTGCGCCGCTGGAGCCGGTCTACGGGTATTGTGACTGACAGCCGCTAATAGACGTATGGCTCCATCGCTAGTTGGGGGGATCTAAGGCGCGCCATTGGCTGCTCACATTATTGGGAACAAGTTTACAAATGAAAGTAGAACTTTGGCCTCCCATTCCCCGTACTTTAGAGGGTTCCTTCCCCATTAATGATCATTTTCCTCAAAAATCTCCAATGCATTCCAGCATCCCCAGCACATTACATCCCCTCCCCTCCACTTTACATAGTTGTGTTACATTGCCTTTTCCCCACCTGATTTAAATCCTAAAACATGCACCATGCGCTGCGACTACACACATTGCATGCACTTGCAGGGCGGCCTCGTTCAGCAGAATGGATTTTGTTTGGTGACCAAACTTGAAAGGGGGATCAGTTGTGCCGCACATCATGGCCGTGGCATGTGTATACCCCCATACACTGCCTTTGCAGATTTTGCTTCGCGTGCTCCTTTGCAGTCTTTGCCTGTGCGTTACCTCCACCTAACCCTTGCACTCTGTTATTTCCATACTTTGGACCCCTACACGCTATATGTTACACACTCCTGACCCCTGAACTCTGTACATTACAGACTTCTGACCCCTGCGCTCTGTATGTTATACACTCCTGACCTTTGTTCTCTGTACATTACACACTTCTGACCCCTGAACTCTGTACGTTACTCACTCCTGACCCCCTGAACTCTGTACGTTACTCACTCCTGACCCCCTGAACTCTGTACACTTACTCACTCCTGACGCCCTGAACTCTGTATGTTACTCACTCTTGACCCCTGAACTCTGTATGTTATACACTCCTGACCCCTGCACTCTGTATGTTATACACTCCTGACCTTTGTGCTCTGTACATTACACACATCTGACCCCTGAACTCCTGTTACTCACTCCTGCACTCTGTATGTTACTCCTGACCCCTGCACTCTGTACATTATGCACTGCTGACCCCTGCGCTCTGTACATTACACACTCCTGACCCCTGTGCTCTGTACATTACAGACTTCTGACCTTTGCGCTCTGTATGTTACACACCCCTGACCTTTGTGCTCTGTACATTACACACTTCTGACCCCTGAACTATATATGTTACTCATTCCTGACCCCTGCACTCTGTATATTATGCACTGCATACACCTG